CTGACGGCATCAAGAAAGCTGAGGTGTCTAATGCCTGTTGAGTTTCAGTCTTCACTAAAAAGGCTGACGGGAACCAGACACTCGATACAAATAACAGCAAAGGGGAAGGGGTGGAAGCCAAAAACAGGGAAGGAGCAGGTTAAGGAATATTTAGAGAAATGAGATGGATTCAAGTCGGCACAGGGGCTGATGAAATTCATCCTAGGGTACTTGAAGAAGTAGCTGAAGCAATTTTGGAACGGTTAGTAATGATCTTTGAGAAATCATAGAGGCTGGATGAGATCCCAAAAGGTAGGGGAAGGGCAAATATGGGACCTATCTCTACAAAGGGGAGCAAGGAGAACCCAGAGAATTATAGACCAGGCCTCTTACTTTTGAAACCTGGAAAGAAAGTGGAATAAATTAATTAAAAAAATAAATTTGGACGCACTTAGAGGATAATAGAATTAGATGGAATGGACAACATGGATTTGTCAAGACCAAAAAAAAAATTCCAGACTGACCTAATTTCCTTCTTTGACAGAGTTACTGGCTTGGTGGATAGGTGGGAGTCATATGTATCCTAGGTTGAACCTCTCTCATCCGGCACTCTGGTCCGGCAACATCCGTGGTCCGGCGTGATTTGAGTTGGCCAGATGGCCACTAATCGTGGGTGCAGCCAAGTTTCCCGCAGTTCCATAAAGTTTGTTTGCAGCCGCCTGTCCTGGCTCTTGGTGTTCTGGGCTGTTCTTTAGCTCTAATTGACCCCTAAATGTCTTCTAAGAGCCCAGTTAGTAGTGGAAGAGTTGGTAATGCTGCTAGATAATATTGATATATGCAGGGGGCGGGAGGAGAGTCAAATAGATCAGCGCCGGGGGGCGTATTTGACAAAGTTCCAGCTGCCCTAAGAGTGTGTGCGTGCGCGTGCACATGCAAAAGAAATGGTCGGTATTTATCAAACTCACTTTTTGTTTGGTCAGGGGGCCGCTGACCCATATTAAAATCAGTCGGCGGGAGCCATACAAAAGTGAGAAGCTGAGAAGGAGACACTCCTCACAGGAGGGAGAGCGTAAGGGTGGGCTAGGAGGGGAGCCCCAGGGGCTGAATCCAAGCAAGTCGGGGGCCGCATCCGGCCCTCAGGCCTTAGGTTCCCCATCCCTGGCTTCTCAGTTCCTAGGAAAGATCCTTATTACGAGATTGCGGAGACCCTTGTCCTTCCTGAGAGACACCTGGGGTTGCAGATCTTGGAGTCTGGTTTGCAGTTGCCTGGCTAAATCTCTTTTCTCGCTTCCGCTTTCTGTTCCCCGCCAGGTCGTGCAGCGCATCAAAGCGGTGGAGTCTGAGACCCGCTTGCTGGTGGTGGACAAGGAGACGGACGAGTACCTCTCCAGCCTGCGGCTGACGTGCACCGAGGAGATGGCGCACGCCGGGATCCCAGCGCACGCCAGCACGTTGCTGGCCAAATCGCCCGGTAGCGACAACGGAGACGTATGGAAACCGCAGCGGGAGCTGAGCGGCGGGAGCGTGAGGAGTCACTCGTCACACAGCTTCTCCTCGGAGAGCGGGAAGAAGGTAAATGGGTCGGGATAAGTCACCGGGGGGTGGGAGGCGGGCGCCAGATGGTGCCGGTCCAGCTTCTGCTTCTGCAGATGGCTACCAAGGAAAGCCCCCGCTGTTTTCTTGTAGCCTGGTGTTATCTCGGCCTTGCTGGCTGCCCAGCTACCTAGAGTTGTGTGTTGAGTTGTGAGTAGCAGGGAAATAACAAAACCCTGCTGAGAACTGTGCCAGGCCCCGGTGCCAGGGGAGGGGGCTGTCTGGGATGCCCCTCGCTCTGCTGCATTCCCATTGGCAGAAATTCTGTGCATTTCATCTGCGCACATTTGGAAAATGTGGGATGCTGGGGGGACAAAGTTCCTGCTCATTTTTTCTATGCGTGTGCAGGATAAATTTTGTTGGGTGCACGAAAGCATGGGCAGATGTGCACTGCCAGTAGAAACACAGGCTGCCAGCTGTGGATGGCTGTGGGCAGTGTGCCAATCAGCTGGAATCTTCTGGGTGGCTGCCCAAGCGTTCGGCTTCCGGGGGGAGGAGCTGAGACTCCTTCCCCCTCCCCCCTGGCTCTGTGTTGCCTCCTTTGAATGCTGGAAGATCTCCCCTAAAACCTGGTGAAAGTTATTGCTTTGCTACCTCTTTCTGGGCACTCAGGTCCCAGGGGTCATGGAGCATCGGCAAGGGCTGGCAACACAGTGTCTGACCCAGCCACGCTGTTTTGGGAGGGTGGAAGGGAGCTTGCGGGGTTGGCGTGTCTGGAGGATCGATTCCCCAGGGACCCTCGGCTCTGCTGTCCTCTGCATCTCCGCTTCTCTGCCACGGCCTCGGCTCGGCAGATCACAGAGGAAAATGTCGGGACTCTGGGCATCCAGTGAAGCCGTGAGGCCCGTGAATGAGTTTGCCCCTCGCTCTGGGTTTCCACATGTGGGTGTGTGTCTGCTGTGCTCCTGGTTCTGGTTAAACAGGGCGCAAATTAGCCACTTTCCTGGCTGCCCCGTTCTTGCCTTGTTTGCTCTTCGGCAGAGGTGCTTTGATGAAGAGCTCCACGGAGAGGGGAGAGAATCGGAGGCGGGAAGTGTGGGCTTGCCGGGGCTGGTCCGGGCTTGCCAGAGGCGGGAGGGATTTATGTCCACGCTGCCCTGGCTCGTTGGATGCAGCAGAAGCCGTGCAGGGACGTTGCTCATGGTTGAGGTGATTAGTTTTCTGATTCATCCGTGGGCTGTAATCCTCTCCCCTCTCCCGCCCCCGGACTTCTAATCACTAGTAGCCCTGCCCCAGCTGGGAAACCCCTCCTCACCGCTCGGATCAGTCACGGAACGATGAAACTCTCCCCCGTGCGTAGGGTTGCCAGGTGTCTGGTATTGGCCCGGACAGTCCGGTATTTGTGGCTTCTGTCCGGTAAAAAAAAACCCCAGAAAATACCAGACACATAAAATATCCGGTGTTTTCTGTTTTTTCTCAGATGTAAGGCCACTTGGGACATTCTTCTCCTGCTGCGTGTGGTGGGGTGGGGGGGAGCGTGGGGATTTAAAAGGGCCGTGACTCTTTTTTTTTTTTTCTGTGTGTGTGTGCGGTTGTTGGTTTTTTTTTCCTCACAACTTTGGTCTCCCTTTTGTGTTTTGTTTGTTTTTTGCTCAACAACTTTGGTCCTTTGTTCCCCCCCCCCTTTTTTTTTTTTTTTTGCCCACCCAATTCCCCCCCCCGCCATGTTTGGTATTTTTTGTGAAAGTATCTGGCAAGCCTACCCATGTGTTAGCCACTGACAGTCAGAGCCATGTGTCCGAGGGCTGCCGGGTGGGTCTCGGTCCTGTGCCTCCCGTTTGGCAGCAGGAAGGCCAAGGTCTGCCTGGACCACAGGGCTCGAACTCTGACTTCAGAGCTGGTTTTCGCCAGCCCCCAAGTTGGCTTAGAAAACCTTTGACAAAGAGTAAGACCATGTGTCGCTTGCTGGAGCAGGGGCCATGGGCTGTGGTTCCCTCTAAGGACGGGGGCAGCCGTCTCTTGTCTGCGTTGCCGGGGTCACGCGCTTTTCCTGCCCCTCATGCAAAGACCTGGCGACCTGCCTTGCAGCCTTTGACACAGAAGCATGTAGACGGCCTTGCCGAGCTGCCTTGGCTCTGTTACGCGGCTCCTTTGTCTTTCCCCGGGGACACTAGAGCAGGGATGTGAACAGGCAACCGGTTAACCGGTTGCCCGGCAACAGTTAACCCGCAGCAGCAGTGTGGGGCGGCAGCCGGCTCCCCGGGAGCAGGGCGGAGCCTGCGTGTATCTGTTCACGGTAACCGATAGGCCGGGCTTATTGGTGAACCGTGTAAACGGTCCTCCCGTCACAGCCCTAGTGTGTGACTCCATGTTCGGTTGCCAGTTCAGTTCCCCCAGTTGCCTGCTGATGCCCACAGGTGCGGCTACGTGCGTGTGGCCTGAGGCAGCTTGTTCCGGTCTCCAGAAGGCGGGAGAACTGGCCGGGGTTAACGCCGAGGATGGAGCGAGGCTCCGATGAAATGGGGTTTCTCTGAGCCTTGCCCCCTTCTCTTCGGAGAATGAGCACCACGGATCCGCCCTCCCCCGGCCCAAAGTCATGTATCGGGGCGGGGTCTGTCGGTGCCCCTGATGCGGAGTGGGGGGGAGGTCAGAGGTCAGCAGCGCAGCACAAATTAGGGCTCACTCCTTGCTGATGAAGGGAGCCCAAACAGCACACGGAGGAGAGTTGGCCCAGGCGTCGGACGAAGCCGAGCGGCGCCCCGACATGGCACCAAGGCGACGGAGCCGGGAGCTAAGCAGAGCGGGGCACTTGCCAGGCTCGCAGCTCGGCCTCCTCGGAAAGTGAAACCTCTTTCCTTTCTCCCATTGTTTGGGAAACAGCAGCTAGAGGCAGAAAACCGCCTGGCCCCTCCCCGAAACCCATTGTGTACTGGAGAGGGCTGGGTGCGGCCCTAGTGCGGGCTACCCTCCAGGGGAGGCCCAGTTGCCTGTTGGTGCGAGATCAGGGGGTCCCTCCTGAATCCCTCCGGGTCAGAGCGTTGGGTAGATACGGGATTGATTCGGTGGCGGCTGGAATCCGTAGTGGAATTTCCTTATCTCAGCTAGCAAAGAATTAACGTGCTGGGAATGTTTCATGGCAGCGGGGCCCAGGGGAGTGCGGGCTACCCTCCAGGGGAGGCCCAGTTGCCTGTTGGTGCGAGATCAGGGGGTCCCTCCTGAATCCCTCCGGGTCAGAGCGTTGGGTAGATACGGGATTGATTCGGTGGCGGCTGGAATCCGTAGTGGAATTTCCTTATCTCAGCTAGCAAAGAATTAACGTGCTGGGAATGTTTCATGGCAGCGGGGCCCAGGGGAGCTGGCTTTGGTATACGAGAGGCAAAGGGGCGATTTTAACCGTCACATGCTGGTATCCAGGCCCATGGGACAGCCTCGGCGCCCGCATGGCTTCAGCTTGGGCCTGGATAAATAGCTCGGCAGGATGGGCAGTCCTGGGCATCCGTGGCAGGGGGTCCGCCCTCCTCCTGTCTCTGGTGGGCAGTCGACGGCCGAGGAGAGCACATTGCTTCGAAATGGCCTACGTGCAGCCTCTGAGGGCGAGCCCGAAATGTCTGTCGACAGCCTGGAGAGAGGGCGTTTCGCCCGGGCCACGCCCTGCATCCTTTCCGTTTGGATCAGGAGATTGTAAACGACTTTGTCAAAGCCGTGTAACGAATCAGGAGAGGGGAAGGCAGAATTTCTATTCCAAGCGACGTGGCTCCTTGAGAAGTCAGGGGCAACCCCCCTCCCTCCCCCCCCAGGACAGACTCAGGGCAGAGCTGGTGGCTTTTTGAGAGCGACTTTGATTTTGGCTTGATTGTTGTAACACGAGCGTGTCCTCCAGCCGTGCAACACAAGAGCCAGGCAGGTGTCACTGATAGGGTCCTTTTAAGGGACTGCTCGGTGGTCCAGAGGGTTTTATGTGGACGTAATGAGCTGAAATGGGGAAAAGGCAAATTTAGGTTGAATTTTAGTAAAACATAAAATTAATCCCTCTGAGGCTCTTCAAGGGAAGTGGCGGAAGCCCCATTGTTTGGACTGGGGAACATGCCAGAGGGCATAATCTAACAGTGGCAGAGGGGGAAGAGCAGTGCTGAGTCCAAACAGGTGTTTAACTTTGCCCTGGGTTCCAGCCGTGTAAGTGAAGTCAGGATTTGGCTGTGTCAAGGCAGTGCTAGCTTTCATGTCCTGGACACCGGAGTGGGCGGGAACCTTTTTTGGGCTGGGGGCTGCTGATCCCCAGAAAAGTCAGTCGGGGGCTGCACATAAGTGAGAAGGAAAAAACGACACCCCCTCAGTGACATGGCCTCCGACTGAGGAGAAAGACCCTAATCCTTGTCACACACCAGAGCTCGGGGGGCGGGGGGCCAGGCGGGTAGATTTTGTGTGCCCCAACCCCTGGAGAAGGTGGACTAGAGCACCAGCGTGGGCTCGCCAATGCTGGGGGGGAACCTTGAACCCTGGGGGCCAGATCCAGGCAAGCCGGGGGCCGCAGGTTTCCCCCCCCCAAAGGAAGGAAATTGTTTTTTACACACTGACTCACTGGCTTTTCTGGTCCCTTAGAGCCACTTCTCCTGTTACTCCAAACCGATGGGGGGTGTCGTGGTGTAGGGATGTCAGCGACTGTCAAGTACTCGACTGCTTGCTTTCCCCCTGCCCCGCTGCCACTGTAGCGGCGGGCTTTGATCGCTCGATAGGTCTGTTGTGTGTGGGGAGTGGGTTGGTACGGAGATGTTTCTTCACAAGCCGTGTTCCTGGTAAGCTGAGCACGGGTGTGGGCACTCGAGAGAGTCCAGTGCCGCCCAGCTGATTGGCAGAGCGCTCGCTCCCAGCTAGGTTTTTATTTCTCTGGGTGGTGCACATTCACACAGGCATCAGTGCACATCATTAAAACAATTATTCCGCACAGGGATGGAAACCGTCTGCCCCTGGCTGGGAAAGGTTAGCGGGAACGTTGTTCACAAGGTGTTCTGTTACCTCCGGAAGGGGCTGCCAGCCTGTGC